GGTTGAAAATTTTCATTCACCTCATAGTTAACAAAAATTTACAATCCGTAGTACTTTTCTATCAATTCTCAAATGCGTTTAATTTAAATCGTTTAGAAAATGCGTCATTTATGTATACCATTTTATGTGGAATTATTCAATAAATTTCGTTTTACACTATACTTTTTGAAACTATTTGGAGTTAATTATTTTTTGTTTCTAAAAAGCAACCCTGCGTGCTTGGAAGGCGTGTGTACCAATAATTTCATCCCTAGCATATTCATCCCCGAGGAAGGCAGTCGCCAAATTCACCGAAGGTTGTTTACTGGTTATATTGTGATTTGGATGCGTAAATTCACATCCGTTTATTTATGTGTTTGTGAATCCCTTAAGCCTGCTACACAGTTCAGTGCGGACTTAAATTTTTGGTCAAAATAAAACGCTCACGCTCGTATTATTGCGGATTGCTGGGATAATTTAAGAAAAAGGAAAGGTGGCACCTCTGAAATTATTCACTGCAGATGGCGCCAGTTACTTGCGCTGAATAATGTTGTCAAAACTTTGACATATGTATTTGCTGCATTCCCCGATTTTCCACCAAGCCCAAGGAATTGTCCATATTGAAAAACGCAGTTAATACCAAAAAATCTATTGAAAAGGTAATTCGACTTCTTTTTTAAACATGTCGTACCAACTTTACAGAAATACAACACTTGGAAATACCTTGCAAGAGAGCCTTGATGAACTCATTCAGGTAAGCAAGAAGTGGCAGCAGAAAAGTCGCCTCGATAAACATTTGAGCGAAACTGTGGCATTTTATTATTATAAATAAAAATAACACGCTATTTATTTATGTTTTACGTTGCAATTGTCTACTTTCCAGTATGGTCACATTACCCCGACATTGGCATTTAAGGTACTCTTGCAATTTGACAAGTGCATCAACACTGCTCTTAATCAGCGGGTCAAGGCCCGCGTTACCTTCAAGGCAAACAAATTGAATACGTACCGATTCTGCGACAACGTATGGACACTTATGCTAAACGAAGTAGAGTTCCGTGAGGTGCACGAATTTGCTAAAGTAGATAAGGTGAAAATTGTGGCTTGTGATGGCAAGAGCGGGGAATTCACTGGATAATCTTAATAACGCTGACACTATAAGACATCGCTGCTTATTACAGTATCAGACAGAAACAATATGCTGAAATACTAACATAGGTGTAGCTTCGTATTGTTTGATAGGAAGCTTATGGAGGTATAAACATTTATTAATGCTAGTAAAGTAATTTATGAAACGAATATTTGCAAAAATAAATACAAATAATTTTCTATGATAAATTATCAAAAATAATCATTATAAAAGACTTTCTACATCAAAGGAAATAACTAACGTTCTAGGCACCTATAGAACAGTTTCTCAAATAAACATTTCCACGCTAAATTAGATATGTTTGATATAATTGGGACCACGGAATTAATTTCTAATACGCCTTCGCCTTAAGTTTAACCAGCGAGGTTTAAAGATGTTATATCGTATTGTTTAGTTCAAAGCGCCCATTAAGCTAAGGTTAGACAATTAACGCGCCGTAAGTGTCGGATTTGCTTTATGACGTCAAGTTTTTAACGGTTTAACATATACTATAACCAATTACTACAGATCACGTAATCAGGCAACCATGTACTTTTCACAAATTTTTTAAATTTCGATTTGTTAGAGATTTGCTGTGTTTTCTATCATGACAACCATTTTATAAACACTATCTGTAAATTTTTGATCAATTTTTTTGCTATTTTAGGCCCTAATCCGACTGTCGGAACGACAGTCGTTCGTCGAAATTTGAGATTTTCATTGGCGTCATGAGGCAACTAATGACATAATCTACTACAAATATTTATTCCTATTATTCTTTCGAAATTATGTATTGAAAATGTGTTAAAATCTGTCGTTATTGTTTTTATTTACGACATAATTCAACGAACGACTGTCGATGCGAACGCCTTACGACAACCAGAATAGGGATGATTAATTTAATAATTATATACCTTTTTTTATTTATGGCCTTATAACATGAGCTTGAGGCTGTTTCTAATCGAGAATTTTATGGAAAAACAACAAATTACACATTGTAGAAGCTATACATAGCTGCTTTTTGGAAGATCATCACATTACCACATCAGACTTCTTCATCGCATGGGCAACGATGTGATTGCTTTAGACTTGACCATGTGGCTGTTGTTTGTTGTTGATTCTATGTTAAGATTCGCTTTTAAGAATATTTTACTTAAAGGTTCGTTAAAAGTTTTTTTTTGTTATTTATGGCATTATAACAATTATATTCAATAATTTTATTGAGCTTTACGCTTTTTCTAATGAATTGTTGAATATTAATACTAATTCAATATTTATTAATTTATTTATTTTAACATTAAACATGAATTAATTGAATTTAAACTTAGTTTAAAAATAATTAATTAAATTTAAGTAGTATTAATAATCGGAGGCTAATGCGAAAATTTTTTAAGAACAATTTATTCTACCTACTACCATTTTTTCAAATCCAGTGGCAAAAGATTCACTTTCCTCGGGGGCTTACCTCACAGTATTTAAGTATAATTATTTCCTAATTTGACTGTAATAGATATGTACATATATTCCCTATTAGTTCGCTAATATCCGGAATATACTGGTATTTTTTAACAGTTGAGCGTCAACCTCTAAGTGCACGGTGGCAAATTCCCACGTTGCGAAATTGGCAAACCGGCCATGGCTAATCTTCCAGTCCCTTGGCCAGCGATACATACCAGTTGTAACAACCGAAATATGGTCCTACTTTGACAAATTGACCTGGAGAATCTTCCACAAAGCAACTCCAAACTGATTAACAGTTATAAGGCCTGGTGCTTGTGACGACAATTAAAAGACTGGATTGGGCCTAAAATTTTGAAACATAGTTAAAAGACTGGTGCAAGATAATGGAGGAGGCGTGGCACCTATCGCCAACTGAAATGGAAATCACATACTATAATTTTTAATTGCATACCCTGAGGAACCCGTTGAGAATCGCGTTGAGTTCTCCACAGAAACACTGGAGATCACAGACACATGCCCAGCATGCGGAAATGCACCGCCCATCGGACATCCGTAGAGCTGTGAACACAATCAATCGAGACCACTCGCTTTCTGTGCCTGGGTTGGAGGAGTCAGATGGGGATGATGAATAAGACAACTAACTAACCAACTCGGAGACCCCACACTGCTACAATTTTTTTAATAGCTCTCTGGATACATAAGTATGTATGTATGTAATGTAAGTCTTAAAAGTTTGATTTATAGTCTTTCAAGTTGGGTGGGAGGAAAGTTCCACACTCGACTAGACTGTTTTCTGGTAAACACATACATAATTGTATTATCATTCGTTTATTTGAAAGCCTGACTCGAGTATACATGCATGTAAGTATGTGCGCTTATGCACGTGTATCTATTATCAGCACTAAGTTTCACTTTAAAAAGCAACAGCAGTTGGAGCTATGCGAAATACCGACTAGAACTGGTTTTATATTCCGGCTCGACTTTTCGCCCCGATATAGATAAATGGAACAAGTGTAGTGTACTATGTAGTCGATTAAATGCTTCAAAAAATTTATAATCATGCCTATTACGCTAGCCGACGAATGCCATTCGCAAGAATCTAATCCTTCACTCTCGCTTGTTATGACAGTGCGAATTGGAAGACCGTAATAGGCATGAATAGCTGATGCGGAGTTCTACCCAAAAAGATGGGCAAACTTAATCTAAAACTGTAAGGCTTATTTATTCAGCAAAAGTAAATCAAATGCGAGCATTTTTCATTTTAAAAAATTTATGGTTTTTACTTGATTTTGGCCTTGTTTTGAGGTGCGTTCATGTAATACTGAGCGTAACTATTTAATTTTACCGCTTCGTAAGTTGACACGCTTACATAAATTACCCTATTGTTTTCCCGTGCTCAATCCTATTTTTCATTAAAATTTTCATGAAGAAATTTAACTCATCGAACAACTCCGGGTCTACGTAACCTGAACGACCCAGATTTATATCTGGCCAAGGACTGTCACTACAGCCTCACTCCCTAAAAAACTTTGTTGAACTTGTATGCTGTTGCAACACCAACAACAAAAAAAACAGGATTATGCCGTACAATACTGGACGGATGGTCACCATACTTACTATATGAATGCATCTCTGTACCGGTCAAGTACCAGTTAAAACTAGAAAAAATATATTTACATACAAACTATTCCAAAAGTAAAATCACGGGTTTAAAGATTTTTTCTGTCAGAAATATATGTATGTGCATTAGCATGCATCACCAAAAAAAGTGGCGGGTTTTCCGCCGGGATCACAAAATGTATTATATTTTAAGACGTCCACCGAAATATTTCGAAAAAAAAATTAAGATTTAAGTGAGCTGGACCGATTTGAAAATACCACCCAAAATGGAGTTTTTTATGAAAAAAAATTGTTTCTTAAATAACTTTTTAAAAAAGGTCCCTCAGATGACAAAACAGATTAAGCTTAAAAAATCTGTATAAAAATAATTAAATATCTTTTCAACGGAATCGTAAGAATGAGATTTTTGATGCGGTATTTTCCCACTGTTTTTATTTCTGTCCAAAAAGTCATTCCTGTCCCAATTTTTATTTTCAAATACCCACACATTTTATTCAACTTTAAATGACGTTCGTTCATCCTATCTTTCTCGTTCATCCTTTGAATGAGTTTATTAGCAAAGAAAAAGCGTGAGAAAATATCTTTACAATGACACCTCTTAAGTCTAAATCAGAAGAGTTTAGTTTCAGTTTTTCAAGTTTTTCTTATACCGATCTTTGAAAAGTTTAAAATCAGCATCGAAAATCTCATCCTTACGATTCCGTTCAAAATTTGTTTAAATATTTGTATGCAAATTTTTTAAGCTTAGATCGTTTTGTCATTTGGGGAATTT